TGAGAAAGACCTGGTTACCAGGCACAATGCTCTGATATGAGCTATGTTCACACTGTCAGTGTTTTACTTACAGATATGAGTATCGAAATTTCATGTTCACACAGTGGCGGAATAGCTGTCTCGCACTGTTACCCCTTTTCCACCAGCATGTTCAGAGCTAGTGCTATTGCTGGTTTGGAGTTGGTTTGCAAGCTGGCGAGCATTATAAGAACTGGTTTGACTTTCCACAGTCTAGAGAGCCACCACAGAGCCAGGTCTTACGTCACTGAATACATCTCATCTTTTGTCGAAATGTGGGTTTCGATGTGGCCGGCCATTGCCGCTTCGACCGAGGTCCTTTTTTGGTCCCTGTACTCTCTCTTCAGTTTTTTAAGTTTGTTGCTAATCTGTTCGACGTTCCTGTCGAACCCCGCTGCAGCCATCTCGCGCTGAATTTGCTGCAACATCGGTTTCATCCGTGAAGCGCCTTCTAATTTACTCTGGACTTCTGCAGAGGACCAGAGTGCAAGAAAGCAGCTTGTTTCCTCCTCGGACCACTGTTGTTTTTGTTTAATCCTGTCCAACATATTTAGCTGCTATTTCAAAAATGGCGGTGGAAAATTTCTGTTCGTCTTGTTGGTCACAATAACCCTGCCCCCAGCTCCTGATGCAAGCGGTTCTTACTTCTAGACCAGCTTTATTTTGGTGCTACTTACAAGCCACTTCTCCTGGTTCAGAGCTGGTGCTTTGGGTATCGAAAGACAAAGAACCGATTTGAAACTTAGCTCTGGCTCTGAACCAGCACTCAAACTGCCTTGGTGGAAAAGGTGTATGTGTGAAGTCACAGATAAGAAGTTGTCCAGAATGGTTCTGTTCACACAGCACCAAAAATACATTTGTGAGTAGGCTACTTCAAATTTATGAGTGTGAGATCAGTTCTACAATGCAGTTGTCAATCACAAAAATAACTAGTGAACATACAGGAATGAAAACCGTATTCTTCTGCTGTGTGAACCTGGCCATGTTGCATCATATTTCCTTTTTTAAGCGGTTTCCCTGCGTTGCACGTTGTAACCAATCACACACAATTCCGTTGAGCTTATGAATGCAATGGCCAATCAGAGGCGTCCAGATTAGTCATCACTAAAACCCCAGAGTTTTGTTCAGTGTGCGCTCTCGCTGACCGAACTCTGCAATCTCGGTAATTCTCTCATAAATAACAAAGTGCTGAGATACATACGGTAAGAGATTCATAACAGAAGTTTTTTGAGAGTGCTTAAACTCGCACTAGACTGAAGTGATAATGTTCTCTGATAATGTATGCTCGTTGTTCACTGTTTGAATAACCATGGGAATGAAAGCGTTAGTAACTTAAAATGTTTTTATTAAGTTGTGATCACGTTATTCATTACAGCGAGGTGGTCTTTCTGCTGGACCTTAGGCCTGTCGCACCTCCTACGGTGCCTATGGTGGACTATGCATGGCAGGGGCGTCCTCTTCCCTGAGGCAGGCCTAACCCTGACCGCATACCACGTGGTTTTCTGCAGGGTCTTCAGCTGGGGACCACCGCTCATTGACGTTTCGCCCCTTAACCCAGAACGTCTCCTGGTGGCGGGGCAGTGAACAGGGACGTCTCCCTGACACCCCCTGCAGCAAAACCTAATTCGATGTTACTCCCCAAGCCTTGTCTCGTCGTTTCAGCCAGAGCCAGTGGCTTGCTTTCTCCGCTTCCTCAGAGAGCTCTTTGGTGGATCTGCTCAGTGTGGCTCCCCGTAGTCCCAGGTCCTTGAGCAGGCATGATATTGATCTGCCCACAAAGCCTCTGGCTCCCACCTCCACCGGGTGCAGCCTCACACTCCATCTACTTTCTCTGCACTCCGCCACCAAGTCTGCATACTTCGCCTTCTTTCTCTCGTAGGCAGCTTCCAGTCCCTCCTCCCATGGCACTGTCAGCTCGATCATGGTTCGTAGCAGGCAGGTGATGTCGTCCATATAACTCCTTAGGGACGGGAGCCTCTGACCTGCAGGCAGTCGGACCCCACCCACCACCTGCCTTGCCCCAATCAGGATGACCTCAAACGCTGCCACGAAAAGGATGGGAGAAATGGAGCATCCCACTGCGATCCCTACTTCCAGTTGTTGCCAACCAGTGGTGACTTTCTTCAGTGCAAAACACATGTGCATATCCTGGCAGTAGTTCATGATCATGGTCCTGATGTTGTCTGGGATGTAGAAGAATTCCAAAGCGTAGGCTATGAGCAGGTGTGGCACTGACCCATAGGCATTGGCTAGGTCTAACCATATGACGTGCAGATCTTTCTTCTCCCTCTTAATGGTCTGGATCTGTTCCCAAATCATGGAAGCATGCTCTACACAGCCAGGGAAACCTGGAATCCCGGCTTTCTGACAGCTGGTATTGATGTAGTTGTTCTCCGTGAGGTAAGTGGTCATTCTTCTTGCCATCACGGAGAAGAAGATTTTCCCCTCCACATTCAGTAGAGCTATGCTCCTGAACTGCTCGATGGACTTGGCGTTCTGTTGTTTGGGAATAGAGACTGCCACTGCCCTCTGCCACTCGGATGGTATGGTCTGCTTAGTCCAGGTGATTCTCATCAGGGTCCATAACAGCTTCAGCACTCCTGGGCAGCTCTTATACAGCTTGTACGGTATTCCGTTCGGGCCTGGTGCTGAAGCAGATCTTGCCCGCTGGATCACCTGCTTGATCTCGCTGAACTTTGGTGGTGATGCGTCAAACAGGGCTGATGGTTCTGAGGGTCTAGGCACATACCCTGGCGAGTCTAGGGGTTTGTTCCTTGCTGGGTCACTGTACTGAGTGCGGATGTACTCCTGCAGTTCTTCTTTGGAGACATCCAGAATTCCACTTGTCTTCTCCTCAAGGAGCCCGCGTGCATACCGGAATGGATTCCTGAAGAAACTTGATCTTTCCTTCTCCTTCCTTTTCCTCCGTCTTCTGATGCGTTCTACCCTCCGGAGTTTAGCAAGGCGTCTTCTGATCTCATCCCAGAGAGCTTTCAGGCCCTCCTTCTCAGACTCCTCTGCCTTCCTCCAACGCCTGCGGAGCTGCCTTCTGCTTACCACCAGGTCATCGATCTCTTTCTCCCTCCTGCCTTTTGATCTTATTAAGGCTTCTAATGGTCACCTCGCCATACCTGTTGCTGCATTCTTCATACAGAATTTCCCCAAACAGGTTTAGCTTGGCTACCACTGACCCGCGCAGAGCTTTTTGCAGCAGCCCGCTCAGATGTTCGTCCAACTTTCTCCACTCCTCAGCCTCGTTGGCCTTTGGCCACTTGATCTTGTTCCTTCGGAGTGGGTTCTTCAGGTTCCTGGCCCTTTGGCTCAACTCCGTTCTTGGGGGTGCTACTGAGTTCACTTCTTGGGGTTCATCAACATCCCTTTCTTCCTCCTCCTTCCTTTCCTCCTGCTCTGCCTCTGCAACATTGGGCCCGTTGGCACTGTGGTTGTCAACCCGGCCTTGGATCCCATTTGTCTGACCTGCCCATACCGGGGCAGTGCAAGGTTGCATCAGGCTACCACCACCACACTTCTTCTTTCCCATGTGGATGTGAAGTCCCCTCAGAGTTGTTGTTTTTTCCCAGCCACACCCACACCTCCTTGGGATCTTCTCTTTTGCCGATATCCTTGAATACAAAATACAATACAAATACAAATTCAGTCCTATTAAAAAATATTTAATGACATCCCCTCCTGGTACTTATACCTAAAAAGACGGGTTTATGATGATGTGCATATTTAATAGATTGCAGGCTACTCTTTAGGCTACCCTTCCGCCTATGGAGTCAATCATTTAGTTTTTTTTACGTCAATTTGTTTTTATATTTTTCTTTGTTCGTTTTTTTTCTTATAGCCAATTTAAATACTATTTAAAAATCACTGCAAAAATCTAAATATTTAAATTTATAATAATTTATAACACAAAAAACTGTAGCCATAGCCACTGCAACAGCCTTTTGTTTTTGTTGTAGTGTTGTAGAAAGATTTTGTTGTTTGTGGCGGGAGTTGGATGGAGGCAGTGGGATGGACATCCACCATGCTGATAGATTATTTCACTCTGATCCATTTCAATCAATACAGACTCGTGCAGCCCTGATCTGACTGTTTGGAGATAATGAGATTCCAGCACGCCTGCAGATATTTACTGAGAAGTGGTTTAGGGTGTGAACGGGGTAAAGAACAGAGCGTGAATAGTATTCCCTTGAAAACATCTAAAAAATAATGTTAGACTTTGAGGATCATATTTTTGAGTTTAATTATTTTAGCCTTTTACTTGACTTTCAAAGTATTAGATAGTTTTCAACTTCAACTTTGTGGTAAAAATTATCATGAATCATTTAGTGGGAAAGATATGAAAGAACAGAAATGCTGTGCTGCAGAGATCATGAGTGTTAAACAACATTTGACTCCTCAAACTTTTAATAGCTTTCACATGTATCGCATGAATTCTCATCTATCATCAATCAAAACAAAACATACTGCATTCTTACATGCATTTCAAACAGTTCTCTTTATTCTCTATTACATTTTGTATGTACAGGTACAGAGACTGAGGAATCAAGCAATATATTATAGCTACATTTTACAATAACAAGTACTATGTAATTTAAGGTAATTCTATCTAGGATTATAAAAAGTCTGCTATTAATCTTGACTGACTGAAAAACATTTCTATACAACATAGTCGCGTGTCGCCTAATTCATAATATTTCAGTCCTCACGAGCAATAACTCAGTATTGTTGGAGTGAAGATAATTGAATCACATTTAAAGTAATATTTTATACAAATATAAAAATGGTCAATTCTGTCAATTTTTACTCACCATGATGCCATCCCAAACTGTATAATATGATTTTCTTTTCTTTTTTTAAGTTTAGACTCTCTTATATGCTCATCCAAGCTGCATTAATTTGCTCATGTATTATGATTTAAAATAACGGTTTTCTATTTTAATATATTATAAAAATTACATTTATTCCTGTGATGTCAGCTGAAATGTATTATTTGTATTTATTTTATTTGTATTTTTTATTTTTTTGATAGACCAGCCTTCATAAACTTTCACTGTACTATAGAAAACAAAGTATTCACTTTATATATTTCACAAGGATGGAACAACATTTAAATTTCTTTGAATCTCTATTCAGCAAGTTCCTCTTCCTGTCTTTCCAATTCAAATTCCAATAGAACTTCTTGTGGGGTGGGGCCAATTCAATTCACATTCCAGCTCAGTGAAAGGAAGGCACTTCTTTGATTCTGAATCTTTCTCAACCCTGTTTGAAAGACAAGATGGCGAGTAAATGATAACAGTTTTCATTTCTGGATGACTTGACATTGAGCAAAGAAGTACTGTACTCAGTTGGCTAATAGAGCACTGTTGTACCATTAGCATAACCACAACCTACATATAATAATAATTCCTGCCATTGTCAAAATGAAAATTTGATTTGGAGTCTTTTAAATTTTAAAATAGTTTTGCATCCCTGTGTTTTACTACAGTACAATAAAATTACTGTAAGTTTACTCAGTGTTTACAAAGCTCCAATCTCATTTGTATTGCCACGACTTTCATATTAGGTGGAATCCAGGTATATGGGGATAGTACTGTATGTGTCAAGAGTTTGTATTAGTGTTAGTGCGAAGCTTCTGTAGCTCTTCTTCCAGTGTGTTGATCTTCTCCAGTAGACTGGCTCTGTCCTGCATGGCTTTCTGTTCTGCCACCTTCTGCGCTTCCTGGATCTTCCTCTCATACCAGCGTTCCAGCTGTGTGGAGACCGTCTCAAAGAAACGCTGTGTCACCTCCATGGCGTGTAAGTTTGCCCGCTCTTGGATGAAGGTGGCCTCCACGGGCCGCTGGGAAAACACCTCCAGGGTCTTCATGGTGTTGTTCTGCTGGGTTTGAGCGTGATGTGCTTTAATCCTTCAGGTGCCTGCTGTGTTTCCAGGCCGGGCTGGGCGCTGGTTCTGTGTCGCTGTCATTGTAACGCTTGCTGGATGTGGACAGACTGCTGCTGGCGGTGCTATCGCACAGTTCATCCCTTTTGTCTGACCTGGACTTTGAGACATCAACCTCCTGCACTTCTGCTCTGTACCACTTGGGGTCAGCAGCCACCAGCTTCCGTGATAGAGGTTTGTGTTTGACCACTGAAGGAGCTGACAGGTTATGATAATCATCTGTGTGAATATGGAAAGATATTTTAGTGAAACAAAAGATAAAAGTGTTTATTGTTTATTTTTTTATTGTTTAGAGCCATATACTCTCAAATATTCATTTAATATTTTAGATTTAGTTTTAGAGTATTAAAAACACAAAAAAAAATCACTTTACTCAAAATAATAAATAAAATGCTCAGTTTAATGCTTAAAGTCAACATGAAATTAAAAATTAACCCTATTTACTTTCTTAATATAAGTTTCATGGTCTTAATGAAAAAAAATTATTCATAATCTTCCATCAAAAATGACCTTCCCTTTAAGCTGATGTCATCAGTCAGCTTTTTTCTTTTTGAGTTTCCTATTTCGCTCATATTTTCTATTTCACTCTATTTCAAAATGTGGCAGTAAAATGGGTTGGAGAAGATCTTATTTTAAGGATGTTTAGATATTTTTATTGGAAATAATAACACTGATCATTTTTTTTTCCAATGCATTTTTTTTATAACCTTTAGAACCATTTTTATTATTGGCTTCTGTATAAATATCCCATTTCACACAGAAATATGCCACATTTTGGCAGTAAAATGGGTCGAGGAGGTCAGTTCATGTTCACTTATATATATATATATATATATATATATATATATATATAACTATATATATAATTGTGCATCCCCAAATTCAAGACTTTGCACATCATTGTTAGGACCTGCTCCTGGGCTGGGTAACACATTGACATAGGTGGCCAGTGAGCTGGAGCTCTCCTCAGAGATAAGTGACAGCAGTGGGAGACCCTCGGGGTCTGAGTCCACCAGAGAGTGATCCACTGATGGAGAGTGCAGAAGTTTGTAGTATTGTGTCTCTGCAGGCATTCGCACGTCAAGATCCTGAATCTTAGACATGCACCAGCTTTTCACAGCATTGGTAGCAGCTACCTGCATGAAAGATAAAAACAGAGCAACATAAGTTTGATCAATCATGTCTAGGCTGATGCAACTGCAGTGCATCTCTTCTCTTAAGGTATGGTACCTGTTTTCTCTCATCCGCCAAGCGTTCCAGGGTGGCTCTCTGATTGATTCGATAATGACACTCCATTGTCTCAGCTGACACACGCTCCTGCATGAGTTTCTCAAGAACTTTAATCTGAACATAAAGAGATATTTGTCTCTAATACCATGAAGAGCCATGCATCAAAACTAACCATGATCAAGTCTTTCTCCTTCTAAGTTAACTTATATTCATCATAAGTTATTTATACTTATTTTCATACATTTTTGAAAGACATTTTTTCATTCAAGTTCAAAGAATGCCAAATAATTTATTTATTTATTATTTATTTATAGTACACTTCCGTTCAAAAGTTCAGGGTCAGTAAGATTTTCTTTTTTTTTTTTAAACATTACTACTTTAATTCAACAAGGATGCATTAAATTGATCAAAAGTGGTAGTAAAGACATTTATAATGTGACAAAAGATTTATATTTCAGATAATCTACTTATGAATTAAACATTTCAAATAATTTATGGCTGCTGAAAATTCAGCTTTGCCATCACAGGAATAAATTACATTTTAAAATATATTAAAATAGAATACAGTTATTTTAAATTGTGATAACATTTTACAGTATTACTATTTTTACTGTATTTTTGATCAAATAAATGCAGCTTTTGTAAGCATAAGAGACATTTTATAAAAATATTTGTAAAAATACACCAAACTTTAAAAAAGTAATGTATATGTTTCATCTCCAAATATAGAGGGTTATTAAGGAAATTGTAAATAAAAAAGTTACAATATCACAGCAAACAACAAACCTGATGCTTGTTTTTTTGCTCTATTCTGCCCAGCCTGCAGTTCATCTCCTCTTGGACTGTGTGAATTTCTGACCTCATCTCCATCTTTGCGGCTTTCAGCTTATTCTCCAGCGTTTTAATGAGGGGCTTACAATGACAGTCATTCGCAGGAGCCTGTTTGCAGACACTGGTTAAGAGGTTTAAAACAAACAAATGCATTGCATTAACTCTAATGTAGAGTTTACCTGCTTTATCTGTCCATCTTTATCCCTGTAAAGTGTATAAAGCTGATAGGCTTTTCCAGGAGTTTCCTCTTCTTCCTGAGAGCTGGTGCTGCTGTGTTTTACTCTCTGGGATGGAGATCCTCTCTCATGTAGCTGATACTCTCTCCGGAACACATGGTCCAACTTTTTTAATAGCAAAAACATATTTAGAATTACTAGATTTTTATTAGGAAAAAAAAATTGTCAGGTAAAATGAATCACCTGAAAATGTGATAACATCTAAATGAACTTGTTTTATTTAAGACAAAAAAAATGTATGAATCTACCTGATTATATTAGGTTATACCAATAAAAGCAATTCAGATTTTTCTATTTATAATGGATATAGTTTAATACATGTAATGATCGCTAAATTGTTTTGATAGTAAAATTAAGATTCATTAAGATTTTTTATTACGATTTTTTAAATATTAAAATAATAACTTCAATCAAATAGCTCATGAGTCATGTTTGTTTTTTTTAGTTATTAAGCCACATAATAAGCAGAATAATGCACAGTCAGCATTTTATTATTGCAAAATAAACCCTCTAGGATCATTTCAAAAATTGTCACCTAAAAATGTAATAATATGAGTCTACCTGATTATATTGGGTTAAACCGATAAAAGAAATGTTTCTTAACTATTTACAGTGGATATAAGTTAATATGTCTGTATATATCTAAACAATCTGTAAATTGTTTTAATGTCAATGTTATTAAGATTCATTTGATTAATATTAAAATAATAAATAAATCAATAGTTCATGTTTATTTGTTTATTAAGTCATCTAATAAGCAGAATAATGTACAGTTAGCATGTCATTATTGCAAAATAAACCATCTAAAATCATACAACACCATATCACCATACATCATGGTTTATTGGTATATAGTATAAAATTGAAGTATAAATTATTATAATAATGTTAATTAATATTGATATAAATGTAATATCGCTACCTTTATTCTTGGGCTCCGGATCTTTCTCCTTGTGCCGTGGCTCAAAGTTGCTGTGTTCTGTTCAGGTTGTATCCTGTGATGTACTTGATCACAGTTGTTTGTGTCTTCTGCCACTTCAGTACAGTCCTGCACAATGATGGGAGTGCTTAGCATGAGAGAGATATTTAGGCGAAAGCAATCACATGACCTCTGATCTCTTTTAGGGTTATGGAAGCTTAGTAGTCATGTGACATTTTCTTCTCACTGGCCCCTAGACCCCAATCATATTACAAACGATGAATCTGCGACAGCGCAGATGTCGTTCTAGATGGGTGAATCTTATCTGAATTTTCCACCTTCTGTTGGGAGGAAGGAACTCTGGGGAGGGACTGAGTTCTCCTCTGGGTCCCCAAGACATCTCTTCTTTTTCTCACTGTCTTTCCACGAGCAAACCTCTGCAACTGAGCAAGGACATACAACTTGAGTTACAGAAGCTACTGATAAAATAAAGATTGAAGTTTGGATGGTTAGGATATTTCATTTAGCTCCTGCTGGTAGATGCTGTAACTAGGGATGTCCCGATCAGGTTTTTTTGCCCTCGAGTCCGAGTCCGAGTCATTTGATTTTGAGTATCTACCGATACCGAGTCCCGATCCGATACTTCTATAATACATAAAAAAAGAATAAAGAAGAGCGAAAAAACAGATCCAGGATGTTCCTTATTTTTTATTTAATTCACCTTATTTTAACATTCAACAACTCTGTTAACAAACAGAGCACTTCTGTGAGGTAGCTTGAACAATCAAGTAATAAATAACATAAATTCTTCACTTTTGGACTTTAGTGCAACAGTAAATATAAAAAAAGTCTAATATAAAAACAAATAGCACCTCAACTTAAAACTTAAAAGAAAACCAAAAAAAAAAAAAATCTTACTTGAAATAAAATAAAATCTAAAAAACCTAAAACTTATTTTATTTGAGCTAGATGCCAAAGCAACATTTCTCATTTTTATTTATTTTCATTTTCATTTTAAAACTGAAATAAAAAGAAACAAATCTATACAGACATTAAAAAATAATAACTAATAAAAATGACAAGAACACAATACAATTTTATTAATAACTGCGCTTATTAATAATAGTTAAAACTAACTAAAATTAAAATGTAAACAAAAAATACAAAACTAAAAAAAAATAAAAAAAGACCTACACCATCTGAGAGCACGTGTCTTTTTCCATTGACAGCCATTCAAAAGTAAACATGTAAACATTTGGCAAAATAAACATATTCACAAGAAAAATATTTCCCGCTGATATTTTAGAAGTTTGTTCTGGTCCTTGAAACCAGTTATGTTCTGTTCACACAGAACAACATATTTTTTCATATTATATAGACGAAATACTTCCAAGGCACTCACATGGTAAGATAAAAAGCCTTTAATGAACTGGGCTTAAATCATTACAACTAGTTATGAAGAAGAAGGCTGTTTTGCCGAAATGCGTAGATCTACTTTTAACTAGTTGTAATGATTTAAGCCCAGTTCATCAAAGCCTTTTTATCTTACCACGTGAGTGCCTTGGAAGTATATTCGGTCTACATAATTTGATGTGCCAATGAGCACCAGTGGCTATATAAAGACCCCCGTGTAGCACTCTCTTCTTCTGGTTCTTGTAAGAACATATTTTTTCATTTGGAAACGTTCGACCGTTTAGCTCACGTCTTGCATCTTCTGCAGTGCCTCGCACACGATACTGTGTTCTTATAAAGCAGCGCTCAGGCTAAAAGAAGATCACCTTTTAAAAAATATCTCTCCAGAGCTTGCGTTTTGTTCATTACACTGAGCTTTGCTTTTTTTAATGCAAAGACCATGTTCTGTGTGAATGGCCCCTACAGTATGTGTGGAGAATTTTCATTGACTCTGTGCTCAAGTTACGTTGTTGTACTAGTAGGTGATGACACGTGTTTATGAGTGAGTCATTTGAATCATTTGTCAACCAATTAATTCCAAAACACTGAATCATTTAGAAATGGATCAAGGGACTGCCTTTATGAGCCATTAAAGCATTAAAACTTATTCGTTCATTTAGGAACAAATTAAAGGGGTCATATGATGCTGCTAAAAAGAACAGTATTTTGTTGCCTTTATGAGTGAGTCATTGAGTCATTCATCAAACCGGTTCGTTCAGTAGAGCTGATTGAGTCAGAAGTGAATCAAGTAATCATGTAATGCTTTGCTATAAAGAGCATGTCTAACAGGACAATGAACTGGTTCTAAATTGAAAATCTTTTAATTTAATAACATTACTTACCTGATTGGATTTTGCTAGAAGAATAGCCAAATCTCGGTTGTTGTTGTCCCGGGCTTTATCAAGAGCAGTGTGGCCTGTCTGTTGATAGATTTAGCATGTAAATAAATTGTCATTTAGCAGATGCTGTCATCCAAAGCAATTTACAGCTCAATTTGAGCAGCCCTGTTATAACCCCATCCCCACCCCCATTATAACTTACTTTCAAAATAACCACACAATCATAAAGAGATTGAAGCATTTCATGAGATTACATGACTTACGTTGTTTCTGATGTTTGCGTCAGCTCCAGCTTCCAGTAACAGATTGACAGTTTTCTTGTGATTTAGGGCAGCAGCGACATGGAGCGCAGTGTCTCCTATCTGTAAAATATGTTGATTTTCCCCAAGACTATGACCAAAAAAGCTGCAATTGTACATGCAATTAACAGGAGAAGATGCTGTAATGTTAACTACAATCTAGAGGTTAAAAGCAGACCATTTAATTGTTTGTTCATTTGCCTCTGAACTTTTCATTGTGTGCCAGTTTCTTATGGTTTGTTGAAGTATAAAATAATACACTATCAAGCCATAAATAATTATATAGTTTTGTTTTCATTTGACAGTTTATAGCATAATTGCCTATTAACTTAGTCTTAGACAAAATCATTTAGAAACTAGGACACAGCAGTGACACAAAAAATAAACCACATTGGTGCTGGATTCAAAACAATCAGAATGAGGATCTGACCTGGTTTTTCTCAGTCACAGAGCAGAAAGAACCCAAGAGGATCTTAATCATGGCCAAGTGATTGTAGCGTGCAGCAATGTGTAAACAAGTGTCACCTGCCTGGAAGGAAAGAAATTGTTATTTTTCAGTATTTAAAGTTTAACTTTTTACTTTCACTTTGCAATTAATATAATCATTTAAAATAGATTGTAAAGATTTTAGAAGAGTGCACTTGCATTGTTTTTGCTGTCAGGCATCGCTCCACCTTGTAATAGAACTCGAGCGGTCTGGGAATGTCCATTCTGACATGCTAGATGCAGAGGTGTGTTTCCTGCCTTTAAAAATAAAATATGAATACAATTTAAATAATAGAATAGAAACTGATTGCATAATAATCATTCATCAGAATTCACCACAAGAGATTTTCTAAATGTAACAGAACATCTCCCGTTTTCAAAATGGTGTGATTTAGTCCATATCTGTTAGCTGTTATGACTACAGTAAACTGACATAATTTTAGTAGATATATGCATTAAAAAAAAGAAAGAAAAAGAAAAATCCTGGAAAATGCATTAAAAAGATGCAGACTTACAGTGAACAAATAAATAAATAAAAAATCAAATAAAAATGTACATACCCATGTCCACTTTCCAGAATTTTTCTTTTTTTCTTTTTGCTTTGTTTTGGAAAATGAACATGGACGTATACATTTTTTTTTCTTTGTACACAGAAATATTCTGTAGAATGAGATTTTCCCTCCCATATACTATCAGCTGACTATCAAATAGCAATTCATGCTGTAACCAAACAAACCATAACCTAACAGTTAATTGCTGTCCTTTGCTAGGAAGCCCTTTTTTTCTATGTATGTATATGGTTTTTGTACCACGTCTCAAGAATCAGCGTTTTGTTGAACTGGCTTGAGTATTTCTCAGAGAAGAGCATGTGATGATCTCATTCTCTCACTGAAGAGTGATTTTGATTGCATACAGCAACATTGAAGCATTAGAGAGATAGCTGAAAACAGTGTAAAAATATGCATTAAACAATGGGCACATTAAAAGCCTGGACCAAATGTCCTAAAGAGCAAGATTGAAGAGTTGCAGAGTTTGATCTCATGGGTTTAGCAAGATATCCCAGATGAGAGTCCTAAAAGCTACAGCTGGGTCATGGTAGGACAGATGGAGAAGAGCTCTGGTGTCTCTTTTACTAGTTAAATAGAAAAAGAAATAATAATGTTGCTTGCTGCTCAACAGTTGGTGCTTATAACCTCTTTTAGTCTAGCTCATGAAATATTAATATTTTGCTGCACTCAAGCAACCTCTGTAATTTTGTAGTTTGTTGTTCTACACCACTGTAAATAAAAATCTTTGAGATTTACGGTAAAATACCGGCAGCTGTGGTTGCCAGAAATTCACCGTAAAAAATATGGTAGAATTTTAGGTTTTACAGACTTGACTTAAATTCACAATAAAATACCGTATTTCATTAACTGATGTAATGTTAATAAACCAACACATTGAAGTACTAATATCTGTTTTGAACCATTGTAATGCACTGATAACCACCAAAAACTGATGGTGATGAGAAAGTCACATGATGAACCAAAGCTCATCATAAACAGCTTTTCTACGAGCTAAGGAGGGCAATACTTATATTTAGAAGGCGCACAGTGTCATTCACACTAACACTAAACCCCATCATGGTGACACACATGCAGAGGTGTAAAGAGTACATAAAAACCATACTTGAGTAAAAGTACAGATGCCTTACAGTGAAAATTACTCCACTACACGTTACAAGTCACCAATTCCAAAACAACTTGAGTAAAAG